GACAAATGAGGACATGAGTCGCTCTTCTGCCAGACAGACCGCACGCAACAGGTGGTTGGTTTATCGTCCCTGGGCGGACCGATGAGGCAGCGGCACAGTGCCTACTTGTTTCCACTCTGAAAGGTTTCCTTCAGCTCCCAATACGCAGTTTCAGTCCCCTGAAACTAGTTCTGTTTGTTCACTGTCTTCGTTAAAGACACTTCTCAAATTCGTCGTCAATGTAATAAGCAGCGACTGCCACTGTTGCGATGGCCCGACATTTGTCTTTGTGCAACTGGGCTGCTAACGGCCCCTTTGTCCATCCCCCAGACAATACGTAAGTGAATATGGGGCAGTGGCGGAACGATACTGACCGCGGATACCAGAAACCTCAAGACGCGTGACCGCCTTCCGCGATAAAGCGCCGTGTAGTCTGCCGACGTTTCAGGCGTGCTTGGTGCCCCCAGTATCACGGTGATAAATAATGATAAACGCAGGAAGCACCTCTGAAACGTCGGTAACCTTCCAGTAGACTACACTCAGCTACATCGCAGAAGGCAGCCCACTTCAGATGAGGAAATGCGCACGAAGTGTTTGTGTTAAACCACGAAAAGAAGAGACAGGATAATATTAAAGCTGACAGGGTGTGGACTGGATTCGTCTACCTCAGGATACGAGGCAGTCCCATGAAAGTTGAAGGGTTTCTTTACCATCTGAACTACTCACAGCTTCTCCAGGACAACTCTGCTCCGTGGAATCGGACGTCAAATTCAGACGACAAGTTTAAATGTAGATTGAATTGACAAATGTAGCCGACATCCGCTGAGAATTTACCGACATGAAATGTAGTGATAGACAAATACGAGACCTCTCTCTTATGGGTTCCTTTTACGCAAATCGCGCAAAAACGGCACAGATTTCTGAATCATTACGTAACCCTCCAAATCCATAATCATAATTCATCATTCCCTGTTAATAACCCACGCCCTTAAGAAAGCGGCCTTAATATGGAAACCTAGGGTGTGAAGCGACCTTAAGCGTGTGGCAATCCACATAGTTCAGCCCTTTCCCGCTGTGGCAGCACCATGCTGGTAGCGGCCAGAGATGGAACGAGGAACAGAGATCCAATAAATTGATTTTTGCGACCGCCTTTCAAAACCGTCCCCACTACATCACAACCGAAATTTGGTGGAAGCAGGTTTACAGCCGTCGAAGCCTATTCGCGTTCGTGTAAAATCCAATTTCAAAAGTCATAAACCACCTCGAAGTAAAATTAGATTGTGCTTGTCACACTCTGAAGGAACCAGGCAGCCGTTACAGGACAAAAATTCTCCACTAACGGCGATAAAATGTAGAATATCACAGAACAGATACCCGGTTGAGTTTCTTAACCCTTCGAAGTCGAAGCTCGTATGAATATCATTTATGAATTCAGTCCGTACCGCGAAGAAAACACCGCACTTCGCCACAGCAAAGATTAGCTGGTTAACGCTGTTTAAGAAAATGATCGCAGTTTACAGTGAGAATCATATGGAACACATAAAAACAAAATGTGAAGTTGTTGTCAGTATAGTGACTCGCTGCTGACTGGACCACCAGGGATCGATCCCCGATGGGTGCAGATGAATTTTTTTACAGACGATGCGTCCAGATCGGCTCTGGGGTACAATTGGTACCTAGGCCGGGGAGAGGTTAAGAATGAGTAGTAGTATACCTGCTCTCCTCCAAACCGCCTACATGGCGTGTAGTGGGACAACTTTACTTTACTATACACCAAACGAAACCATTAACTTAGGTCGCTTATAAATTAAAATACTTCGTTGCGAATTAGCAACTGTCGCCCAAATTTAGGGCGCTGATTTGCAGGATGTCAAATCGCGGACGCCGTTCTCTGTCTTGTGAGCTGCTCTCCTTTCCCCGGGTAACAGCCATCACACTTGAAGAGGAAACATGATTCACGACGCAGCCACTGAACCAACCACCGCTGGTGCCAGGGACCGGTAGCTGCTGCGATCTCGCGGTCAGGGACGCTATAATGCACATTTAATGATTGCACTACCCTTCAATGACGGGCAGGGGCCACTTGAAGCACTATACAGTCTGTCCAGTTCTCCTTACCGCCTCTTACACCTACAGTCACAAATTTCTGTAGGACGTAAGGACAGAATAACAAAGTACATGAATGCTATGGGCCACGCAGTTTAATGACGTACGAAAGTTTAAAAAAATTATGTAGCAAAAACTTGTAAATTAAGTTACTTTATCAACGCTGTAATCGTTCGAGGCGAGTTTCCAGAAACAAAATTTAAAAAAGAACGCCAGTTTCGCGACGCATGTCCGTCTGTAACCCCCACCCCCCAAAAAAAAAATCTATCAGAGGTACGGACTAAGAAGTGATCTGATTAACGACAGCAGAGTCTTCAAAAAAGAATTCATGAAACATTCAGAGAATGGCAGGAGAGTTTTCGCTACCGTAACTAAAAAAGCAGCTCCCACGTGGCCGTCAACAGCTGATGTCTGTGAATGCTAAAACGATTACATGGCCGCCACTCGAACCTAACCTGCTCTGACAATTGTGTTTATAAATTTCAAACTTACAGAGCAAGTGTGTACACGAGCGCCAAACGCGTACACATTGAGTCTCAATACGAGACTCAACGCCCACGTGCATTTACGAACTAAAATTTTACACTCAGTATCTGAGGTTTGAGGTTATCACGGCGGTAAATATTTCTGCGAAAGTGACGCAGTGTAGACTAACAAGGTTGATTTCAAACGTTTCGGAGGAGCATAATGTCTCAATCTTCAGGGCAGAAGATGGAGACAGTATGTTCCTCCAAAATGTTGGTGTATTCTGCCTACGAGTCCAAAAACAGCGACACAACCCAGAATAACATGGACAACGTCATAACGTGTTTTGTTTTGCTATCAATATCGACGTTTCATAAGCTGAAAATTAATTGATTTTTCATTTGGATCTCTTCATGCAAACACGATACAGCAAGATGGCGTACGTCACCACCTTACGTCTGTCCCCTTATACTTGCTTCTTACGGTATTAGTATACCCCACTATCCACGCGCAGTGCCCTCGTATATACGCGGTTAGTGCATCCGAAAACTGAAGGAGACACGAACTTCAAGAAAGAAGTTCGGCGGCCCAAACCAGAGGAAGCCCCTTCTGGTTATGCCACCCGGGACCCTTGTCCATGCCTGGGGCTATTTTTACTGCATTCCAAAATGTTTACCAATTCAAGGGTGTCCAAAATGGCCGAGTTGCGCGATAAAGCGAAATTCTTAAGCCCACGTGTTGTAATGCAGCCTGAGATTTTTTCAACAGAGCCACAGAGGCCGGCGTGTCGTAAATACGCCGTCGCTTCAAGAATCGGCCGGAAAAAGGAGTTAAGTCAACTAACTGCACTGAGTAGAGACTTCCTTCTGAAGCTGATGGTGTCTCAGCTAGTCAAATATCCCGTCCTTTATTCAGCCGGAACTTTTATTACGTCTCCACAGGAGCTCGCCAGATGAACTCAATTACATTTAAACTATAACTTTGTTTAATGTTTTATGGGTTAGTGGTAAGTATGTGTACCACCTACTCCTTGTGTGTTTCTCACAGTCTTTTTATGGGTTTCATTTTGTCAATCGACCTAACGGTTTTGGGGGTCGTTCTCTTGGAGCCAGGAACGGATTATTAAATATTTTCAGATAAGACATCATGTAATATTAAAGCCGGATTTTATTTTGTTATTTAGCGTTCATTTAGATATTACAGTCAAGTGGCAGCCCTGACTAAAGTTATTCTGAGGCGTCTGTCCATGTTTATTATTGGGTTATTAGACGTTTTGTGTAACGCATACACCGCGGACTTCCAGAAATTATGGGTTTCTGCGCAAGTCCAAAGTCGTTCCATAGACTAGCAAAAAAATGTATGTATATATGAGATTCTGCTGCCAAAAATCTTGAATATCTCGAATTGTCTCTGACAGCAGACTCGCTGTCGAGAAATTCCCGGGGAACAAAATTATGTGTGACGTGCGACAAAAAACCGGAACGGTGAATCACTTCGAAATAATTGTACTAGAGAGAGAGAGGGGGGGGGCGGTTTCAACGCACACGGGAGCCACGTGGGCGCTCCACCTCGACGCCTCGTTTTCAAAATACATTACGTGCCTAAATATAATATTTTTAATCTTCTCCGAAAACGACTCGAGGTTTCGTCTGGCGTCGGCTCTGATCGTGATAGTTCGTGAGCAGCAAGTAGGTGGCTCACTCTGCGTGTCTCGCATGTTACCACCGACCCGCGACCACACTCACCTCGAAGACTGCACCCGGGTTCAAACCAAGATAGTGTGAGCGGGCGGTGATTCAGCCCCGTCGAGTTTGGAGATCAGTGAGAACCGCGTGCGTGCGTGCGTGTGTGTGTGTGTCCGCAGTGCCGAGGGATCGATCCAGCAACTGTCGTCGCCCGACTGCAGCACGAATCTCGGTCACCACCGAAGACCCTCGGAAACCTCTGCGTCTTCCAGACTTCATGACCTCGTCTCTCAGTCGCTTCGAGGGCCACGACATGACCCAAGCATCGTGACGTCACCATGCCGACGCTACCCGACGCCACGCTTGGTGCAGACGGGGGGCTGGCGGGCCGCACGCGACCCCGCCCTGCCAGTACTGCGCCTTCCCGGAGGCGCCCCCAACTCCCCAGTGAACACCCCTGCGATCGTATCCATCCCCATGACCCCCGCGGGGGGGATTCCGATAGGAATGGCTACGTCTGGCCCCTTCGGCATGCTACACGTGTATCCTACCAAGGCGTCGGAATTCATGTTCAAGCAGTTCGAAGGATTCAAGGACTTCACGATGAACACGGCCAAGTCCGGGCTCAGTGTTGGAGAGAAGACTGCCTTCTGGCTGTACGCGAAGGTGCGGGCCTGGTCGCGCAACTGGTTCACACACATCTTCCTGTTCCTGGTGGTTCTGTCCTACAGCCTCATAGGTATGTGACGCCACTGGGACGATTTCCGGGCGCAAGAGTGTAGTTACTGAAATCTTCCAGGAACTGAACAGTCCCGGGCGGCGCGCAGAACGAAGTGCTTTGACGTGAAAGTGGCAGGTCTGCTTTATGGGGAGCGTCGTAATTTGTACCTGTCACCAAATATGCTACGACCAGGAGGATGAAACAAACGGAGAATGCAGAACGCATTGGTGGGATGACAAAAACATTATAATTTTGCAGGGATGCATAAAAGGATGGGACCAGTTGGGAGAACTAGATGTAGAAGGGAGAACAATATTAAAATGTTTCTCAGAGTGATAGGGCGTGGACCGCGTTTAATTAGCTCAGGATAGGATCAACTAGTGAGTTCTTCTGAATACGGGAATAAACATTCGGCTTTAAAAAGGCGAGAAATTTATTGATTATCTTACCGACTATCAGTTTCTGAGGACTGCTGCGATGTTTTGATCCGAAACACAGTAACAACACCCACTCACTGCAGCACGAAGACGGCAGTGTTCTGAATCGAAAACCGAAATGCGAACCATTAAACAGTCCACTCGTTTGTTACAGGAATTCAATTCGTAACGTCACCGTCATGCAAGCCGATATGGAACTTAACTTCTCGTTAACTACTCCTCGGATAACGCTTTAAAAAAGGGGCCGTCCTTCATGGCTAAAGCACTAGATCGTCGACGCTTACCGAACGTTTCCTGCTGCTGTTACCGACAGCCAACAGCGCTACTTCGTCTTGAATTTTTTATTCATTCATTCAATAACTGACCCTTCTCATTTAAAGTGTTTATCCTATCACACGAAGTTATATAACACTGACTGACTGAAGCGGGGATACGTAAAGAAGCTGTTCCTGGGATGGCTGAGTCCGGATTGCCCGCGAAGGCTGCAGAAGGAGGGCGAACAGCACAGGGCAGAAAGGGTGGGATGTACTGTGCCAGGGGGCGGCAGCCGGGAGACAACGGGTAGGAGTGACTGGGAAAACAAAGTGACAGAAGCTGCAATAAGATGCTGATTAGCGTCTAATCGGCACAAATGACGAGACACGTCATAAAAGGAGCGTGTGCATTGCAGGAACTGGAAGTCTGCATAACCTTTTAGCGGTCTAATGCAGAGTACTCTTATAAACTGAAATGACGCCTCCAGACGCTTACGCCGAACCGTAAACACGCGCAAAGTAGACCGGGTTAAGGCGTCATTAGCAACAGACGCCAATAAACAACGTCGACGCATTTGATAAAGCGACAGGCAAGATCTCCACAAAGAATCTTATTAACATCCCCAAATCAATTACAGACTTTTTACGGTGATGATGCGCGCCTTTCAAGAGCGGAATTTGTTTTACTATTGTTACGATGGAGTGAGAGATTGTGTCACTGGAACTGCCTCTAACGGCCCCTTTGTCCATCCCCCAATGAATATGGAGCAGCGGTGGAATGATACTGACAGGGGGAAACAAAAACTTGTCCAACATCTGTGTCTCATGTACTGACCTGGGTACGAACCGGGACCCCCGCTGTAAGAAGCCGGCATCTAACCGCCTGGACTATGAAACTGGCATCAGGACAAAGTGCTCGGTTAAACAATTATAAAGCGGTGAAAAATTATTAATGGGGAGGCAATGAATTTCACACACACGGACGACGAAATTTATAAGCCAGTGACAGGGAGGCCTTCCGGTAACGAAAATCTAAAGAACAAGAAACAGATGACAGAGAAAAAGTACTGAGACATTAAGTGTGTTAAAAGGCGTAATAAGTTCGTCTAAACATTTGTGTTACTTTGTTCTGTTGTTTGTGCGAAATTCTGTCGTGTTGGTGCCTTTGAAAAAGATCCCTTAGTACAGTCCCGATTCCAGAAGACGGGAATTTCCCGCAATAAATTCGTAACATATCGTCTTAAAAGATCAAAGATCTTTCTCAGCAAACGTCCTGATGATTTGTGTTCGCCGACGAAGATGGCTGAAGCAGCGCGTCCGAGCCCAACAGCGAAGACATTCATTCTGCAGATGCCAGGTTCAAATGTCGGTCTGAAACTCTGCCATGTTTTCCGGCTGTCAAACTCCGTGTCTCAGAGAGCAAACATTCTACATCTTCAAATCCAGACACCAGCACACAATATTCCGCTTAAAATACACTACAAAATTAATTAACGTAACAGAGCAATCAATCTGTTCCCATTGTGTTATGGAGTGTATTTAAACTCCTAAGTTAATAGTTTAAAGCTAAAAAATACACGCGGCTCTTAATTCCAAGAAAACACCATAAATGTAAGGGCACGTAGTTAAATTTTTGGAACGTCTTACTGTGGGAGCAAATGCAACCCACAGGTTGACTTCTGACAGGCAGGCAGGCAGAGATAAAACACGCAGAAGCAGGTGGTAACCATAGTTACGACAGTTGTAAAGCAACCGCGCACATCCCGATGAAGAGCCACGTCAGAACGAAACTGGCGCGTGTCCAGTAATGGAGTTGACAGCCCGCGGATCGGGTCGCCGTACACACCTTTCTCCCTGAAAATCTGATAGTCCCTTAGCTAGTCTAGAAATGTTCCGCCTTTTATGGTGATAAGTTTATCACCGTGTTCACAAGAGCCTGCCGTCGGTCTCCATCGTGAGTCAAACCCTCTCTGAAGATCCGTTTTAATATTATCTCCGAATCATTTCCTGCCTAAAGAGACAACTGCAGTTGACGGACCTCCGTTTCCTGTCTCAGCTATTTTTCATAAACCAGAAGTAATTGCGGTAATATAATTGCAGGAGCTGTCATCTTCGTGGCAGTGGAGGGATCGTACGAACAGAAGGTGCAGTCCAACCTGCGCACGGAGCGCTACACGCTGGTGAGGCAATTACGTGAACTAACGCGGGATCCCGTCCTGGCCAACAATGACAATGACTGGGAGGGCCAGGCTGTGGAGAAGTTGCTCGTATTTGAGAAAATCATGCACGAGCACTACAAACATGGCGTCACCCCGAACAAGATCGACGACTGGAGCTTCTGGAACTCGGTCTTCTACTGTGGCACCATCTACACAACTATCGGTGAGTCACGATGAACGACAGACATTTGTTAGACGATTAATTGAATTAATGGGCAACCACCCACATGTCACGTGAATCATTCACAATAAAATGTCATCGCTTGGAAGTCAAGACATTCTTGCATCACATGCAACTATACATTACGCCCAATCAGATCTAATTTCATCATCAATCGTTCTTCTGTTGTCCCGGATACGCTGATTCTAAATCTTAGCTCTCCAGTAATTAACTTTAAATTCCGGTCGCACATCCAAAGCAAACAGTGGTTGTGGTGTTTCTAAGCAATGTTTAGTTGATATTCACACTTCAATAGGTTTAAACTTTCAAAACTCATCAAGAACTACACGAACCACCGACAGTAACTCTTCAATTTACCCACACAGTCCGTGTGTTTGGGGTTTTTACATTCTATCCAACGATTATGTCCCTGAACAGCGCTAACGAACTGATAGTCGTCATGGTGACGCGTTATGTTTGATTTTGGTATGAACTGACCTTTTTTAAGTATTACTTGGACGAGGTCCTATCTTTCTAACCTTATCAGAAGGATGGGCGGGCAGAGCCAGGGAAACTTCTAAGAAAATGACCCCTCTTCCTCCAGGAATAAAGTGCCTGTCACGTTCTCTTATTAGCGTCTTAACTCTATCTTCTTCGGCGTCAAAGGGCAGAGAGACGGTACTCACCACTGCGACAGGAGGGCAAGAACCGCGTATGTCCCCGGTTCTGTGAAGTCCGTCGCCCATTTTGTAAACCTGCTGTGACAGGGCGACGTTCTTATGAGCGCACACGAAGGCCAGAGGTTGGCACAGCTTCCTAAAAGAAAATCTTCAGTCATTATGTTTGGCGAGAACTCATGCGCACAGGAACAAAGTAAAAAAAACTGGATTCCTTCCAGCTGCGACATTTCGATGGGTGGCAGTGTCATTGTCCGTCAGCGACACATCATCAGTCACCAGTATCATCAAGAGACGCGGTCGGAACACAAGAAAAGTCTACTTGAAGACGGCTGTCTTCTGGGTTGTTACACCTCTGAAACGTCGGTGAACTATTACCAGACTACACGACAGAACCACCCAGCCATCTTCATATTCGCTGTCGTAATAATAATCTGAAATCTCACCCCCCCACCCCTCCAACGGCGCCAAGAACACCTTACGTAATCTTCCAAGTCGCGTTTAAAGGAACAATGAGGATCAAGATCATTATAGGGGCGCGCTGTTGCAACCTTGCGGTGTTTGTCGAGCCGGCAAGCGTATTAGTTACCCACGGCACCCTCTAAATGACTCAAGTGACGTTCGCTCAGCTGATCAATAAATTCCCCGCCGCTTATGGACTCAAAATCTTCGACTGAGATGAAGGAAGATAACGAGGAACGTTGTGTATGTAAGAATCTGTAAGGTCGTGGCCTATTTCGGCCGAAAATCCCGCACTCACTTGCCTCCAATGGTAGAAGCACGCGGACTCGGGTCTCGTAGGATGCAAGTCCCAGGCGGTCCAAGGATTCGGCTGATAATCCATCATTCGTCGGAATTGACGCATGAAAAGAGCCAGGATATCTAAGTTGAGACTCAGCTCGCAAGCAGAGAAGCTGATCTGTCTAAGCAGACAACGGGCGCATTCATTCTGAGACTTGTGTAAACACAGAATCATTACGATACCAACGATTTCAAACAAACTCTCGCACCTTATGTGAATGGCGAACGTCAAACACATACAGTCCAAACGTTTTATAGATGCCGCAGTGTTTCCACTGCGCAGTAACCGAGAGAGGGGCTAAATCACTTTATGACAGCTGCACACCAGAAAATCGAACTGTGGATAGTTTACAACACTAACGAGCAAAACACATCGGTTTTAAGTTTCTCGCTTGTAACTTAATGTACAGAATACAACCTAAAACTAGGGTTCATCCAGTCTCTTCCACTCCTGGGCCACTGTTTCCGCCGTCACTAACCTTTCGCGCAGCCGCTGACCGGCGTAAAGTAGAAATAGAGCAACATTTCAAGTTGTTCCTGGTTTTTTATAAATAAACCACACTTCTGGCACCATTTCTCTGACAGAGGTCATCTCAAGGCCGTTAATCTGACTTCATTTCATTTACAAAGTTTCCAAAAGCTGGAGGAACCGCCATATAATAAGCACAACTGCCGACTATTCAGATCACATTTGTAAACTTGCGGGGAGCGTAGAGGAAGGAAGACACGCAAAAGACACCGCCTAAGGACTTATCCAGGACAACCACACGATGAACATGCAAGAGGTTCTTCTGATACCTTTTTTTTTCAAGTTGACTCGAGTTCGGCAGTAGAGCTTCACAGACTTCCATTCAGAGTTTTTGTTACGTTACTCCGATACGGCCGGACTGTTCTCCTATTCACTTTCACGACTGTCGGGCAAACAATGGCCGCCTTGTGGCTCTTCGCCGCTCGTGCGCGCACACACGTAGGGTTCTTCGTGTTCTATCGCCACCGCACCGCATCGAGAATGAAGCGTGCTGAGTTCGAAAACCCGCAGAGGTAAAACTGCGCTCGCTTCCTACTGAAAAACCGCTCGTTCGCGCTGGTTCTAAAACGGACACTGCTGCAGGTTCACGAGTTTTATGGGCATTACAACGACGTGGACAAATTGTACGTAATTTAGAACTAATCTAACTCAATTCAATGGGTTCAAGACAGTGTCTGGCGGTGATTTCTCATCCGTCGAATTACAAGCCTCACTGACATTATGATTATCTTAAAATCTCAAGCCCTGAAGATGGAAACAGTATATTCCTCCGAAACCTTGGTATGTACCAACGGGTGTAGACTGCGTCACGGCCCAGAACAACACTGTCACCATGCTGTACAGCGTTCTTGCCATCCTTGACACCTGGGAATAAAGGTGGTGTCACGATATCTTGGCGTAACCCTTCTAATTTTCAATTCAACTAAATTTCTGATCATGCCACTAAGTGCCTACCCGTTAACACCGCACAGCACACAACAGACGGTCGGTTGGTTGGTAATCGATGGGGCTGGGATGCGTGCGCTCGGGCTGACCATTACACACAAATTGAAGATAAGGCGGCTCAACTGTGGGGGCTACGACCAGAAAACTGCATGCACACAACTGCCATTCTGAGCAAGTGCTGTACTATAAAACCGACCTCGTGTAAATTTTGCAGTTACTAACGAGAATGAACCTCTGTCCCTGGGTTACACTTGTGTTTGCTATCAGAGGAGTAGCTGAAGACTAGCTTCTGTGCGAAGCAAGTGAGCAGGTGGGCGCGTAGGCACACTTGCGTGCCGGATATTTCCGGTTCTCAGGGCGACGAATATGAACACGGCTGTCTTCCGGGATGCTGGTCAGTATAGGCTGGTAGAAACTAACCGATCACCCTGACAACTGAAGCACTAATCACCACTGAAACGTCGATCGACATCCACCAGACAACATGGCGCAACATCCCATACGAAAGTCATCTTCAACTCCATGGCTTTGTACAAGGAGAATAAAATAACCCATAACAGAGAAGTCATATCAGTCTGTCTGTCCATCAGCATGATCCGTCTCTTAAGTTAATCCAAGGATTTCTTGAAAATTTGCCTGGCTTGTCGGTTGTCCGCGCTGAGAATTGTTGAGTAAATGCAATTTTGGTGTGTATGGGTTAGTGAGAAGAAGCTAAACGTAATCGCAACTGTTTGCCCCATAGCACAGCCCCAAACTGATACAATTATGAGGGCCATAAAAACCGACCAATCAATTTCTCATCAAATTCCATGGATTTAAATATCACCGCCTTCGGCAACCTAGAAATTAATGGCGAGTGGGTAATAAACAGTGTTAAAGACGACGAGATTTCGATCAGAAAGTAATAGAGTTACTTTCCATTACTTCTCGAAATTGGCTCATGCGACTCAGACCTCGCTGACCTCTTTACCACCCTAAGAACCCCATCAAATTTCTTATTGAAGTGTCTGTACCTGAACGGTGAAGATGGACAGAGCCGGGTCGAAGCAGACACTGCACGTATGAGTGGGATCAAAGCAGACACGAGATGTAGCACCAAGATCGGCGAAGGTCAGCGCACCGAATCATACAACAAATTCGAGGTCACATTTGCAAGTGCGCGCATGTGGCTGGGAAATACTACGAACCAACGAGAGAGAGAAAGGCAGCTTCATTGTATACAGGCAACAAGGGGGTAGGGCACAGAACAACAAGATGTGATGATAACACGACGTGCGTGTTTGTGCACGGAGAGGAACACTTCTAGGAAAAAGGTCAATTCTTACGGAAAGAAATGAGACGAGAGGCTGTGTTTGCCACAGGCAGATATTTGGAGCACCACAATAGTGACGGAGGTGCTGTATTTGTAAGCGCGCCCTCGCAGTGTCTGGCACCCTGCCCTGGAGTAGCCAAAGGTAGAGGCGACATCTCGATAGGCAGGCGAGCGCGCGGACACAAATACAATTTACTTACCTCTGCGACGTCATTCTGAACTAACACCGAACAAAGTAGAGTTGCTGAAACTACTGGATCTGAAATATTCAGGTCCCCCTTCGTCTGATATAGAAGAACTACAGCACATCAAAGTACAGCGCGTACGGTACACGAATATTTATTTAATGGCAAAAGACTTCAAGCCCCGGTCGCTTTACCTCCGAGTAAGGAGCCACTGTATTCGTCCTGCAGAAGGTTGTGTGGGCAACTGAGTCGGTACGGCAGCCGGTCACTTTACCGACTTGGTCGTCAGGATTATCACAAACCGCTCGGAATAAAGATCATCACAGTCACATGCCAGAACTTGCTAAGGTTTTTGTTTCTGGGAGAATAAGTGAAATTCTGCTTACAAATTCGTTCTCTCTGCTTAACGCCAATCCTACCGCGGGTCTGTTAAAGTGTTTTTTAAACCGGTAACCTTTTCATTGATTTTTGGCGTATTCGACGGAAAGACTCGATATACGTTCGGCGTCAAGCCGGGTCTAAAGGTCAGGCACTTATCTCCCGCCAGACGCACG